TCCTAATATCGATTTCATTTAATATTATATAAATGACTGTGAAATGTGGAAGGCATTGTTCATATAGAATCTGTGGTAAGGTTAATACGATTTTGTTATGTGGTTATACAATTTTAGGGTGTATTTAAAAAGTTAATTTGTATTCTGTAACTATAATCTTTATTCAATTCCATGTTACTGCCATGGCACTTACTGTCGTTATTTATATTCCATGTATTGTTCATTTAATTTTTCATCTGAGTCTATAAATAAAAAGTCTTATTTGTGTTTGTTCAACCAGCTCATCGATCTTTATTTGTTTTGTTTTTTTCAAAAAAACAATAAACTTATTCACTTTATTGAAAGACATCTTAGAGATTCCATATTTTATCTCCTTCAAAACCTGTAGAACGCGATTATGAAGATTTCGAGGGTGTCTGATGGTGTTTAATACATATTTATCTATACTATATATTATTCCCCCTAAATTTCCGCACTTACAGTTTGTTCTTTATATTTTGACAATAGTCTAGAACCGTAGGTATATGCATTCAATACTTCGGCATGTCCACGGGGATTCTGATGTTTTACGCACGTCTATAGGATGTTAAAAAATTTACTGTTTTTGTATCAATCTAAGTATTATTTTGTATTGTTTTACTCGGTTTTTATTATCTGGTGGATTTCTATGCCACTCAAAATCAATTCGGGAACAGAAATTTTATATTTGACTTATGTTGGTATTAAAAAAGTAAAACACTTCTGTTGATTGTAAAATTCTATTTAATTTATTGTAATAAAATTTAATGAAAAAATATTTCGCACAAAATTGTGGGGAAAATATGACCTTTGTGACTATGTGCTGTTGCTCTAGTCTTTGTTTTTTTATCTATACAATACACTTTTTTCCCCGACATTTCAGTTGATAAAATTAAAAAAAAAAACTCTAAATGAATGTCAATATACGGCACACTGCTACCTCTCTCCGATTGAGTAATTTTTGTTGTACTAAATGTATCTATTTCGGCACGTAATGAATTTGTTTTTTACTCATTGATATTTACAACTATATTATAAAAAAAAATAGTTCTGGTGTGTCCACTCACACGAATTTTCTACCTATTTCAGAAAAGTATTTATATTTTTACATATGTTGATGAAGAAACAAAAAAAAAAGTTAAACTAGAATTATTTGTTTAATTCAATGAAATTGATTTAATCTTTTTTTTTTTATTAAAAAACACTTTATTCAGAAATATTACAATTTGTCACAGTTAAGGACACTTATAATAGAGTTCAGAGATTGCATTCATACCGTATATACAAAAATATAAATAAATAAAGTAATAACAAAAGAATAAGAAGAAAGAACAAAAGAGTAAAGAAAAAAAAATATATATACACATAAGTAAATAAAAATAGAAATAAAAGTAAAACAACACCTTATATAAAACATACATTATTTACAATTTGCCAGGTGATCTCCGAACCAATCCTGTCCCCTCCACATGTGGAGGGAAAAGGGAGGCTTAGGAGATCCCTACGCTTCTCCCTCAGCCACTTCACTGGTAGATTTAATCAATGAAAATTGATCAAAGAAAAGATTTGAGTACGATTTATTTGATAAACTAAAGGAATGTAAACCGGCTTAAGTTAGATCAATGTGAAAATTTCAATACTCCTGAATATTGCTGATCAACAACTTTTTGCCATAGCTTAGTATTGTCAAACAATAATTTCTATTAAAAGTAGAGAAAATAGTGAAGCTTGTGTGATGCAGGCAACAAATTTTCTTATTTTCACTTAGTCATCATTTTTCTCTCACTCACCCCTTTCTGACACCAGGATATGAACCCGTAATCTTACATTGGAAAATGAATAGCTGTAACTTCGTTAATAGTTGTCCAAAATGAACGATTTTTATATAGTTGTGTAGGGAATTTCATTACCTTTAAAAAAACAGGCGTTAATACTGGTTCAATCCCGATGTGTTTTTTTTTGTTTTGTTGGTAATTTATTTAACTTTCAAGAGTTTTATTATAAATTTTACCGTATAATATACACTTAGCGAGTTAGGCCCCAAAACATTTTTCTTTTCTTAATAACTTTTTTTCCTCAATTTTCTCGGGAATTTAGTTCATATACGAAAATTGAAAGGAAAATTATTAGAACATTATAGGAAAGTTTCATCAAAATCGTTAGAGCCATTTTCGCGCTACAGTCAATAGAAAAACATGTTTTTCATTTATTGTGCACAAAATATTGCACATGAAGCACCGAATTTCTGTCACAGGCATCAGTAATCAAACTCTTCTAAATAAAAAAAGAAGCAACAAAATCGGTTCTGTAGTTCCCGAGAAAATCTTGGCACAGAGAGACAAACAGACAGACCAATGACTAGTAAATGTGCACTCAAGAATATAATATCATTAAATCGCTCATTGAAAAACTTCCCAACGATAGCACTCATAGCCACGTAATTGATAACATAACAATTTTACAAAATACTGATATGGCTCTGTTCCATCTGTGCGTTGTAGCTGGCTTTCTCGGAAGGATATTCGCAAGTTATAATCTCTTTATCTAGCTTAAAATTATCAAGTTCACTTTCAAAGACTATTACATATCCCAGCATAACATTAATAATTTTGCCAAAGCTCTCAACTGGTATAAAGGAAGAAACCAGGATTAAGGTCGGTTCGCTGTCAGTCGAAACCCCTCCAGCAGCATTAGTACTTTACCTACCGAATGTTCACATTCACTCACATCAAAGTAAGCGACAAAGCAGATGACCATCTCTGGAGATTATTTATACGAATCAAAATATTTGAATCACTGATAACAATTGACAGGAGATTTTCAAAAAATGCATGTACTCTTAATAAAAAAAAGCAACAATCTGATGCGCGCAACACATAACTTTCACTTACCGCCCTAGTTTGAATAGAAATTATTTTCCGGCAATTGGGCTATTATAAAAATTTTAAAGTGCATTATAAACGGAGCTAATGCTTAAAGCTTAAATTTGACAAATCATTAAGACCATTAAAATTATGAAAAGCTTATTTATTATATCGACGGTAGGCATTAAAAATCTAGTTACTCTATCTGCTTTTATAAACCACACAACTTCAGTCTCTGAACCTTTCAGTTGACAGAATGACTACCTCCAATTTCAACATTTTTGAGTAATGTCAATTCTAGTGATATTTCTTGTTGGAAATGTTATATCTATATAAACAGTGAGTAAGTTGATTATAGAGTAGGTGATAGCAGTGTTGAAATACAGAACTGTAAATAAAGGTATAAATTTTCCAGCTGGAAACATCACTAAAATCAATAATGAAGAATATTGAAATTGGAGTAAGTCATATCATCAACCAAAAGGCTCATATATGCCTAGAGAGATTTAAAAGTATATATGAATATTTAACCTATAAATGATTAAGGATTGTAAGACGATTAGTAATTAATCTGTTATTTTCCATTGTAAAATGAAATTACGAGATTTTCATTTCCTGTCATAGATAGATCAAAACATGTCACACTAATTGTCAATGGATGATGTTGGGATTTCAAAAAGAGAAAATTATTCACTAATTTAATTTTTTGAAAGGTTACATGATCATTTTTCCGGAAAAAAACGGACGATATATACCTGATTATTTAAATAAAATATCAGGTCTAGAGTTATTGAGTTATTAAACTACAGTAAATATATTTAAGGTTATTAACATATCCATGAGTTATTTTTATATTGCACTTCTTCTTTCACACAGCAACAATGAAATAGTTTTTTTTAACAATGCCATTACTTTGATTAGGTTGATTTTAAATACTTCCTACAAAAGTAAAAATATTTTTTAAAGTTTAGATTTAGTAAGTAAATTTAATTTAATTTTCTTGGAAACATGTGATTTATGTAAAATAATGTTAGTTTTATGAAATTATTATTTATATTTTTTAGTTCTCCGTTATCTTCTTCAAATTTCTATATTTTATAATATTTTATCTAAAATTCTCCGCTTTCCAACGATATATTATATATTATACCTTCTGACTATTATTTCCAGAGATTCATTTTCGACCTGGATAAGCGTTTTTCTTTTTGTCTCCTTTATTCAATTATCAAATTCTTTCAAAAATTATATTTAGTCATTTTGTATAGTTACTGTCAATAAAAGAGAGTTCAATTTGAAAAATAAACCATATTTAAGGTACTTTAGAGGAAGGCGTTTATGAACATTGAGCATTTAAGCCCTGTAAAATGACATCAATGGTAATAAGACTTGAAAGATATTAAAGAACGCTTAATTATATAATGATGATACACCGAGTTTGATCAAAATCGTTGAAGCTGTTTTTGAAAAAATTGTAAAAACGTGTTTCACCGTTGATATAAAGTAGCACTTCCGGTTAGTCGATTTTAAGGAAAAAGTTGCTGTCACATTTAAGGCATATATCTATTTTAAATATTTAAAATCATGAGTCATGAGTTTAGTGTTTTGTAGTAGAAAGTGCGGTTGTGCAGGAAGGTGATTGGGGCAAGATCATCCCTGCCGCCAGCTTATTCCCCTTAATTCATTCTTTAATTAAGATTGTTCACTATATAAAGGCTATGTGTGCTCTAGGCTAGGAGGGTCTCCTGATCTCAGGGTTAATCCACGGCTAATATAACAGAATAAATAATCATTAGCTTTACTCGAAATAGGGACCTTTAGCATAAGAAGTCAGTGTCTTATTCACTGAGTTACTCTGCTATCTAGATACTCTTTATACGTATATCAATAAAATGTTTAACTCTATCACATGCTTTAACAAGTATTATAATTACAAGCAAAGTGTAAATACAAATGGCTTGAAAAAAAAAAAAATTGTTTCGCAAGAAAATTGCATTATCAATTTTTTAGTATGGTCTTTTGAAAACTAATTATTTTTCTAAGAAACTTGAAAGCTGCTACCTCTCAAATGAAAGTAATAACTAGATGTTTTGAAAGAAGTTCTTGGAAGATTCTTTTTCAATGGTGAGGTTTTTAATAAAGCGTCGTGGAAGTATAAGCCTTTTTAATTGTATGATATTAGATACCGAGGGATTATTAAACAGATGGGCTACATACATTTTCTTATTCTGGACGTTTTTACATAATTATGAAATTTAATTCTTTATCAACTGGAAATCTACCATGTATTTGTAAGATAAAAAAAACTGCAAATTATTTTAAAGTAGTTTATTGTTTCCCAACAATTATACATCTAAAGTAACATTGCCTTAATATTGACAAATTAAAATAAATAAAAAGTTAATTCCAATTATTTGCCTTTGGAGTTCTGGCACTGGCCAGCTTCTCCACACAAGTCAAGAGCGTCTGTGGCTGTAGTGCTCTCTCTAAGTCTCCACTGGACTCTAATGCCGGTGACGCGGCCGAGAGGGAAATGCTGGGATCTCTTAGAGCCTAGCCTTGTCCTCTACTGGATTCGGAGCTCCCTTGGCTGATTATAAATATTGTATTTAAGTATGAATGTTAGTTTTTTTTTTATTCACTTTTAATAATTTATTGTCATTTATATTTATTTATTTAATTTTCTTTTTCTTTTTTCCTTAAGAATTTTCTTTATTATTTCACTACAATCTATATTTCTTTATTTGTTTACAGTTTTAACTTTTTTATATATACATTATCATTTTATATACATATACATATATATATATATATATATATATATATATATATATATATATATATATATATATATATATATATATATATATATATATTTATGCATTTCATTTTTTTTTATTATATTATAAATATGGTATGAATGTGCATTACAGCTTTAATACTTAGTGTCCTTAAGTGTGGTAAAATGTATTATACCTCAATAAAAATATTAGTACAAAAAACATTATTTGCTTAAACATTTTTTTTCATCATTAGTAATTTGCTAAAAATAAACAAAAAAAATACTACTTCTAACTAAAAACCTAAAAAATACTACTAACACATTCAAAAATCAAAATCCAAAACGAAGAATTGCAGTAGAACATAAAAAACATCCAGAGACCTAGATATCTTCCTCCTCTGGAAGATATCTAGGTTCTTTAATAAGTTTAAATACCTTTGAAACATGTTATCACAATATTGACAAAAAAGTGTATACTTTTTAAGTTATTAATAATTTAATTATACCATCCCTCCTAACTTTTTTCCAACTTCTTTTCGTTGAAATATGTTATATAGATAAATTTAAGAGCATCAAGAAGAAGACTTTGGCCAAGTTTCATTGAAATCGGTACATTCGTTTAGGCACTACAGTTTATAGCAACGCAGATTTTTCGGGCGCCATTTTGAAAGTAAAAGGCGGATAGTAATGTCGATGAAGGTGGATCATCCTCGGGTAACCTGTGATTATAAATCCGGCGACGGGGACGGCGGACGGACAAAAACATTTTTATTCGTTTTTCGAATTCTACGTATCATGAAATGTAAAACCTCAACTTTTGAGAGGGGGTTAAGTTTTTGAATTTTTTTTTCGATTACAATGGTTCATTATTGATAATTATAAATCAAAATAAACGGTCATTAAAAATAATCAGGCTATAATTGACTGGAATTTAATAAAGGCTATAATACCTATTACACAATGACATATACATATATGAAACACCTATTTATTGTCTATATATTTTTTTTGTAGTTTCTGTAATAAAAATAAATAAGTAAATGGTGAATTTGTGGTTACTTTGCCTTCATTGAACCTTCTCTGACCATATTTCAAAATTGTTTTTTTTTTTTATGATATTGAAGGATTCGACATAATATAATGTAAAACATTCTATATATGTATTAAAATGTCCAATTTATTGTGCAGGCCACTTGGAGGAAGCGTAAAGTCGTCAAAAAGGAGGACACGAAATTAAAAGAAGAATCTTCCAAGTGCCACTTCAGGTACTGCCCTCACGACTGCCTCGCTGTTGATCCTTCCAAACCCTTCCACTATAAGGTATATTCTAGTTTATATTGATATAGCTATAGCATTTTTTATTTGTGAAACAGTTTTTTTTTTATTAGTTTTAAAGGGCAAAATAATTAAATGATTATCAATCGCTCCTTTTCTTTTATTTTTTGTAACTTTGGGAGAGCCGGTAAAATTGGTCGGTTTAACTAATAACCTGAAAAATAACAGATTTTGTCTAAAAGGTGTGCTTCAGCTTAATCAGCCATATCATTCTCTTTTACGCTGATATGGGTTGGTATCTTTATAAAAAATATCGTTCTGACAAAAGTTTTAAATCGTGGAACAGACATTAGATTGAGTCCGTTCAATTAAATTAAACTTGAGATTTTATCAAATTCCAAGTGCATGCTTTTTTTTTTACTTCTTTTAATGTAATGCCTTCGGTTTGAATATTAGTAAATTTAATACGTTCATATATTCGATACATTAAAATTGCATCTGAAGTGCGAAATGCACAAGACCTGTAATAAAACCATTCATGCCTTTTTCTCTTCACTCATTCATGCATTATTATAATTCAGAGGGAACCTGCGGATATTCGCCTAACGGATTTAATAGTAGGATATAAAATGAGCAGCGCAATGTCTGTTGAGTGCTAGAAAAGAAATGGAGTCCTAAAATGTTGTGTATTGAAGAAAGTGAGGCTTCAACATAATTTAAATTTTTGGAATCTTTCTAATTTTGGATAATCTAAAACAGTATTAATAATATTCTCATAGGAATGAATGTGTGACAAGTAATTTTTCTCTTTTATTTATTTGTTTTTAACTGTGTATATTTTTTTTTACATGCATTTTTCTATTTCTTTCAATGCATATATTTTTACTTATGTTTCATTCTTATTTTATTTTCTTCTTAGATAGTATTTTAATTTGTATATAAGACTGAATGTAAGCATAGAGCCATAATACCAAACGTCCTTGACTGTGGCAGATTGTATTGTTACTATTCGAATAAATCTTGATAGCTTGACCGTTAAAAGAAAAAAGGAAAAAATGTTCTCACATTAGTTATTTTATAGTTGAGCTGATACTTACAGTATTGAATTCTTACCTGTTTTTTTTTAAATTTCATTTGGCAGTAAAAAATTAAATAAACAAATGCCTGCAGCTCATTTACTCTCTCATTAAAGTTAACATGACAGAGTGAGCTCGATTCGGGGCCGTGTGATATCAGTAGACTTCTGCTTCCAACGAGCATCCAAATGAGCCCCACTGTCTGTTTGATGAAAAGTCTTTTAGTTTAACAGCGACAGGAGCTTTGCCGGCCATTTCCAACCCCTCATCTAAATCCAGCTGCCAGTTTAAACAAACTCCCAACGCTCTTTCTGATCTTCTACCCTCTCCGCACTTATCTGACTTTTAACCCTCAAAAGGGGTTCAGGATAAAATAAATACACCAACAGTCTATAAAAAAAATAAAAAATAAAGCCTTTATTTGTAATAATATAACATGATAGCTTTCTTGGTTTTTAAGTAATTAAAATGAAGTATTAATAAACTGACTGATAAAAACAAAATCAGAAATAAGTATAAAAACTTTATTGATTTCTTTATTGAGATAAGATTTCCCCTCGGGTTTGTCTTCTCTTGAGTCAGCTTCTCTCACTCAGCATATTCTTGTTGCACTTGTTATGGCGTCTCTCCATCCTATCAGTTGTCTTCCTCTTATTTTTTTGCATATGGATACCACCTTTCTATAATTTGCTTCTTCGAATTTTTATCATAAAAAAAAAAGGTATCGTAAATAGTGTTTCTTATATAATTGTTGAGGACAAGGAAGGTAAATATCCCTTTTTTTTTTCTTTTTTGTCGCCTTTTCGGCTTTACGCCAGGAAAGAATAGGAGATTAATGCCAAAGTTAAAAGCCCCTCGGCACTCGAATTCGAGCTCGTCATCTTCGGTCTATCAGGTTGCCAGTAAACGCATATTTTACACAAGAATTAACTAACTCGTACAACAGTAAGGACTTTAAGAGTTACATTTACTGTAAAATAAAGAGTTACATTTACATTTAAAGATACTAGCTTTGTTAAAACAGTTAAACTTAATTACCATAAATTAAACAGATAATCAAATACCCATCTGGACATATATAAAACCTCAAATAAATCTACAACTAACTAAATTTAACAAACAAAAAAAAGTTGCTTCAGATCATAGAGATAAATTTCAAAAATTAATTCAGGCATTACTGGAACATCATTTAATTTTCACTGACGGATCCAAATCTGACTCAACAACATCATCAGCATTTGTAGCCAAAGATAACATCCATAATATGAAGTAACGTCCATTCAGTAGTATTTATTATACACAGGTAAATGCCATTGCAATGACCATAGTATATTCATCTAGATTGCTTGACAAAACGAAAGTAATCGCTTCAGATTCCTTAAGTGCTCTGAAGAGTTTAGCAGTATTCCGAGTATCCAGGAATGCAACGAATATTAGAAATAGGAACATTTATGACTAATAACGGGAAATCAGTTAATTGCATACGGGTAACTCGACATGTCGGCATAAAAGGCAATGAAATGGCCGATAAAGCAGCAAAAGAAGCACTCTCGCTCCTAGACCTGGAACTGAGAGAAAAACACTTTATTTTCATAAAATATAAAGGATTGCTGCCCAATTATATTGGGTTGCTATACACACAGCATACTCTTCTATCCTTAGGACAATATATGAACTTATATATAAATATACAGAAGTATTAGTTAATATTAGTAAAATAGATATATACATTTTTATATTATTTTTTTCCATTTTTTTTTTTTCCTTTTTCTTCCTTTCATTGTTTATGCTTTTTTTTTTTTTTTTTAACATTTAGTTTCCCTTTCTCTCACTTCTCTCTCTTTATCTCTATTGTTTTCAATTATTCATTAAATAAATAAATAAGTACATAAATTAAAACTCTCGGGCTAGCCATGCACGTGGTGGTGAATGATTCCCAGGGAGTCGAGGACTATATTTTCAGCCAACCTCGCTACGTCCTTAATGTCGACACCTAGTTCCTCGAGGAAGCTCCTTGTTCTTTTTGGGATAGTTCCGCGAGACCCAAACCAGAGGCCTCTCACGGTGAACTCTCTCTCTCCGAAGGTCTCACGGAATTTATCTTTTAGGAAAGGGATACATTTATCGTACGTGTTCTTCTTTTCCCTTTCCACTTCACCCAGCCTGATCGAGGTCATTGCTCTCAAAGCGGACAGTTGGATATAAGATCAGCGCTGTCCTTCCTGTCTTGGGAAATGCGACGATATCCGCGTATCTCGTAGAGCCTTCACTATCGATGCAATATACCTCGTCAAAGCAGGTGAATTTCCTTTCCCTAAGGAGCCTCATCAACTCGAACTTGACCCGGTGGTGACGACGTGTTATGAGGAGGGAGTTTTTGGGGCATTTTCCCAGCATATGGACTGATGTTTCAGACTCTCTGCCGCATTTACGGTAGAGGGACCCAACTTCTCCGACCTGTCCGCTGACTCCTGGGACTCCACGCAGGGGTGCATAATTAATGTTTAATTTTAGGGCATTCGACCATTCAGACCCAGAAAGTACTTGCTTTTCTTAGATGTATCTATTTGCTTTCGGGGGTCTCTTTAAAATGGCGAACACCAATACCCTGCCACCTGCAGTTGGCCCATTCCTCAAATGCATTTTCTCGTAGCGATTGCTGTAGAGCTTTCACATTTCGATGACCCTGATCAACCCCCTATCTCTCGGCACATTCAGTAATTTCAGCCGAATAATCGAAGGTAGACTGAAAAAGAGCATCTGGTACATTGGACAGTCGCTGAGCAATAAACCAATGTTGAAGAGGAGCCTCCCATTGGCAGCGGATTAATCCCGATCCTCGGTATCTCCTGGAGGCATACAACATCGCTGTGGAAGTATTTGCAGGGAGTCCAATAATGGCATTTAGGCTCCTGCGAATCATAATGTCGATGCCCTCCAGAATAGCAGGACGCAGCTTTGTTAGGGGCGCAGTTTGGAGAGGGTAAGTAAGACCCGGGAATAGATATTGATTGACAATGTTGAGTTTCTGCTCAGGTTTGAGTAAGCAAGAGGTTACCAGCTTGTTTAAATTATCATTCAATTTAGTCACCGAATCTTCGTTGAATTGTAGCTCTCCCGAGAATGTACATCCTAAATACTTAATCGTATCTCCATTCCTCAATGTTTTTATGTACTCACCATTCTCAAGGGAGAGCACCGTAGTTTCCAGCTCTCATTTATTTAAAACGATGCCCATACTTTTTTGAGGATTTATAGCCAGACCAATTTCTTTAAATGTCCTCTGGATGCTGTCAATCACTCTTTCTGCAGCCCCCTTGTCTCGCGCCGACACAGCCTGGTCATCCGCGAAACCTGTGAGGACCACACAATCCTGCTCATTCCTTAATTTGTATCCAAATTTCTTGGAAAAGTCCTCATCGCACAGGTCGCGGTAGAGATGATCGATGGCCAGGTTGAATAGTGAAGACGACAGGGGACCGCCTTGGGGCACACCGCGCAGCACTTTGATCTGGCTAGTTGCATGGACACCGTTATTAATCTTTATGGTGTTCGTGCTAAGGAGAGCCGATATGACATTTGTAAGATTCGGTGACACACCTCTCGCTTCTAGGGAGCTCACGATGTGTTTGTGACCAACATTGTCAAAAGCACCGACAACGTCGAGGAAAACTATCCCACAGTCATTTTTCATTTTTTGTGCATCTTTTAATACCGCGTCGATAATCCTCGAGTTGACGTGCGTTCCCGGGAGACCTTTTATAAAGCCTTTCTGACTCTTGTGGAAGGTGACCTGCTTTCTTAATTCGTGGTCCAGAACCTTCTCTATGATTCGGCGCACAATCGAATATATGGTGATCGGTCTCCAGGAAGGGATTTTATTTATATCACCTTTGCCCTTATATATTAATATTGAGCGCCGTTGTCGAAGTGGTTCCGGAACATAGGCCACCTTCAGCATTATCTCTGCTATCGTTTTGATAATGTTTGATACGTCAAAATATTTTATTGTGCGGATCAGAACTCCATCAGGCCCCGGCGATGTGTCCATTGACAGTTATTATCGTCTTAAAAGTGCACAATTATTTTTATTGATTTTAAAATCTAATTAGCCCACTTCAATACTATGCAATAATTAATAATTTCAGGCTAACAAATATTGTTTTATTTGTCTTTATTTTAAATACATTAGATTAATTTGTTGAATAATTAAATTCAACAAAGGCCACTATTTCCTCTGGATGGGATAGTATATTTTGGGGTAGTATTTTATGAGGAAAAGAATTATATGGAAACAAAACTGAGCTCATTATGACGCCAATAAAGGTGAAACCGACTCTGTAAACGGCTTTTCATGGTCGAATTCACTTAAAATGAAACTTTATGATTCAGTTTATCCAATTTAATATCAAAGAATATTATTGCCGCACTTGGAACTTCAGCACCTGTTCGACCCCCATTTAATTTAAACGGAGAACTTATTATATTTACCATTACATCAGATGTTGTATATTAATTTTACATTAATGATTTTCTATCCACTGCAAAAATTAACAGTCCATTAAAAGTTCTTCCACGTGTAATTTAAATTTATATCTCCAATCATGGAAATTCCGAAAGCAAATATATTTTTTAAAGTGAACATTTTTTTCAGCCGTGCTGTAAACTTTTTTGTGGTCAGTGAATAAGACTACGCCTCCACACTTAGATATATAACATCCGCTCGAGTAAAGTCGGCTTGAGTCGACTAATTGAAATGTTTTTGAATTTTAATTAAAATATTTTAAAAACTAAAAATCTGACCTGCATGCTGTAAGCAAGGGAAATGTTCCATCCACTTTGTAATGAGTCATTATTCAAAATCTTTTATCATAAGGCAACGCCTTCTTATAGAGGCAAAAAGGGAAAAATATAGTGTCGAAAACAACTGATAATAACGTATGGATTAAAATATATCAGAAAACTGAAAATCGGACCAGCATACTTTAAAAAAGGGAAATTTTCAGCATTTCATCCTCCTTGTAATGGAGCTATAAATCAAAATCGCATCGTAAGGAAAACGCCGCACCGTGGGACGAATAAGTGAAAACTCGCGACATTGGATGTCATTTTTTTTTTTCAATTGGACTATTCAATAATAACAGTGAAAAGTATGTATTGTGCCAAATTAAAATCTTCTCGAAAACTCCGTCAACAACACAAAGTATCAATAAAACAGTTTATATAGTTTTTGGAATCCTAAAAAAAAAAAGAAAAATTTAGACAGATTCAAATAAATGTCGCGAGTTTTCCCTTACTCGTCCCACTGTGCGGCGCACAGTGAAGCGAAAGTATCTTTTGGGGACAAAATTCCGTAAAAGATAAACGATATGAGATA